GATGGATTTGCCAAGCAAACAGAGCAGAGGTGACGAATGTTTTCCTTCTGGGGCTGAACATTGACTCGTCTATTTATTAAGTTTTAGAATGCCAAAATGATGTTTATAGAAAAAGTTGTACATAGCTTTGATGATTATTTTTTGTTTCTTCTGGCGAATCTGAAGAAAATAAGCTAATCGCTGACACCAAATAAAACATTTTCTTTCGATGAAGAAGACGTGTTTTATGAATTTATATGTGTGACATTGATTTGAGAATATCCACAAAAATGAGACCAAAATAAACACTGGACCTCTTGGTGTTTGAACCATTTTCATTTTCTGCAAATATTAACATTTATATTTGGAACCTGAGAGTTATGTTCATATTTCACGTGAAGAAACTGATCATTTTACAGTCGTCTATTTCCTTTTCTTCACAGGGCATTTGCAATCATGTTTTTCTTTCGCATTCATGTTGTCATTTCTAATGAACTGATTTGATCCATTTTCCCCGTTGCCACGAATGGAGGCTTATCTGTGTTTTTTTTCAACAGCACCATAAAATATGGCACTGTCTAAAAACACAGTCATAACATTTAATTCAAAGAATTTAACCGTTTTAAGAAAGAGAAATAAAAAGTTCCCAGGTGTCTACCAAAGGCTCTGTGACATTCTTTGGTCAAATTACACAATAGACGAAGAATTACAGAACACTTCACAGAAATTAACTTTTTTTTCAGGGGGCTTTCCTGTCTTGCGCAAAAAAAAAAAAAAAAAAAAGAGACCCAGGTCGGATTGGACAAAATCTAAATTTTACTGTTCATATATGGGATGAAAAAAATGTGCTATGCGTCGCATATGGGAAACAAAAGTATTAGTGAGTGAGTTCAGTTTTACTTATTTGCATCACTTAAGACGATCTCTTATCACGGCATCAACATGCCGTATTTTGAGTCGAAAAAGGTTTGGATTGAGTGCCTTTCGCCGGCTAATTCCACCTTCAAGACTCAAGAATTCATTTGTGTGCTTATCTTTCACTCTGAGACCTTTTCACAAGCTAAGCTTTGTTATCATGTCATCTTGTTTCTTCTTTTGAGGCTTTGTCTGGTTACAGGCTCAAAGGAGGCCGCCCGATATTTTATCCTTAGCCCACGCTTTAGCTTGTCTTTCCAAAGTGCAATGGGTCTTTGATTGGATTGAGCGACATTTGAGTGCAACTGTGACCAGTCGGATGAAGATCACATCTTGCCATCATTTCGTTGATAAAAGGCGCAACATTGTACGACGGTCATGGCACAAATGGAGTGACACATACTTGGTCCGTGTCCTACCGCTCATGAACACGCGTGTGTTTGTTATGCCACATATAGTTTTGAACTACGTGAGAGTTTGATTGTTAAAACACATATTGAGAATGACCCGAGGGTGTGATTGTTAGGCCACCCGTCACTTTCACAATGATTGCTTTGATAGCACAATGATGCGATTTTAATGTCACAGTTTTGTAGCATTGAGGATGATTGATTTGACAGCACAGGCGTGTGATTGCTATGCCACACATAGCTTTGTAACTGATCGTTTTTAATGACATGAACATGTTGTTATGCCACACATACTGTAATTATGAAACAGTTTTTTTTTTTATGAGTGTGTGGTCATGTTACACGTAGCTTTGCGATGCCATTAGATTATTTTGACTTCGAAAGGATGTTACACAGATTTGAGAGTGATGTTTTTTATGAGACAAAAAAAATAGAGTTGTGTCTCTGTGCGTGTTATTTATATTATATATTTTTGTGTGAGTGTATACTAAACCCAAAGCATCGTATTGGTTTCACTTTCACAAAAAAAAAAGAATTAAAAAAAAATCCAATCAAATCAAAAAACATCACCTTTTAACGGACGGTGGGATGTGACCGCCATCCCAGGAAGTTGTTAGCGGTTAGCAGCTTCCTGGTCGGAGCTCTTGCGATATCTTTTTTTTTTTTTATTCTTATTCAGTTTGTTTCATCTTCAGTTCACCGATGGCACAGGCAACAAATGGGAACGTGGAGCGCCAGGAGAAGCATTTTAAGACGGTACATGTGAGCTACGAGAGTGACGTTCATGTATTTAACACGCTACAGAAGTGCGCCGTCATCTGCCTTTGCGTCAGGTCTCCCACCAAGGTAAGCAGCGACTTCCTTTTCACAAGCTCACAAACTCTTGTATCGGTTTTATTTTTCTGTTTCGTTCATGTTAGAGGTCATTATTTGGTTGTTGCTCCATCACGGCACGCGTGTGTGCGTGCTTGCGTAGGCGCGTGCGAGTAAAGGTGTAAGCGGGGACGTGCGTAACCGGTCTCGAAGGTTGTGTAAGCTAAGCTTATGTTAAATTATTTATTATTTTCATTTTATATTTGAGCATTATATTCCTTTATGTTATAGTTACCTAAATTATATTCAATTTAATAATTGTTGAAACATTCTTATGTTGCTTGCGTCTGATTGGCTGAAGAGAAGCAGGAAGCGTTTTCGTGACCGGAAAGAGGTTTGTTCGTTCGGGAGTTGCGGAGGTGCAGATGTTGAAAAATAAAAGTTGCATTCAAACGAAGTTCATCTCTCCTTTTTGCCCATTCCTAACGTAGAGCCATCCATGCAAAACCTACGAACCCCTCAACTTACAGTTGGTTGGCTTGAGAAGATCTTAGGTAAAAAAAAAAAAGTTTGGGCAGCCCTGGGTTCAAGGGTTCAGCCTTCGCTCAAAGCAAATACGTTGCTCGATGAAATTTGTCATTTTGCTCACGTTTTTTTTCTCTTTCTCGTGATGGCGAGAAAGGGTATTTGTCAAGGTAGATATGAAGAGACACAGCTTCAGAGCAAATCGACAACATCACATACAAGAAAAGCTCATTTTCTACTTATTTTCAATGTTATGTTTGACATGTAAGTCGGCCGAACAATTGTTTTTGCTTTTTAATGATGTAAAAGTAAATAGGAGGAGACATGGTCATCGGTGTGTCAATCAAGACATATTTTATTGGCAAGAACGGTGTAAGCTTATATTGAAAACTACGAACCCCTCAATTTACTACAGTGTTGTCGCGTCCTGTGGCAAAGTAACGTCATACAGTACAACAAATACATTCATGAGCCGCCCAAAAAAAAAAAAAGGCTTGAAAGTGCCCGACGTCCCCTTCGTAGCCTGTTTTTGGTGCGCGTCCACCTGCCTCGCGGTGGCACGCGCAACTGACGCAACATTTAGTATTTGGAAAATAGACAGACGGATCACCCTTTGCCGGACGCTGTTGTATACAAAGTCGCGGCGGTGTACTAGTTTTTCATCCCCAGAAGTCGTGAAAGTGATTTATTGAAAGTCTATGTTCTTGTAGTCTTGGGTGCATCTGTACTTGCTTCCGGCGTAGCGGGTGCACACCAAGTGGGGGAGGCAGGGGCAGGTGTGGTGCTGCCTTTTGCCGTGGTAGGGCACCTGCACGAGGGCAAGACGGGAGCATCAACGAACGGCCTCTTCATTCCTGCACTGATGAACTTATAGATGATTCATATTTTGGTTTTGCAGTTGGACCGATACATGCTTGTGCAATACGGATTTTCCATGTGTTTTAAGGTTTCAGGAAAAGAAAAAAAATCATCGTTGAACCTAACCCTTAATTCATAAATATGACAAAATATATTACAATATAATTACGACGAAAACCTGAAAAATGGGGGCAGATTTGTCGTAAAAAAAAAAAACTTCTCGAAAAAAATACTTGAATCTGCCATTAAAAAAAAAAGACCTGATTGTTATTTATAAATTTGAAGAAAAAAAACAATAGATACAAATTCCCTTTTTCAATTCATTTCATAATCTTGCCGGTATATTGCTGGCAAAATTGGCCCTGTTAAAAGTCTGAAAAAGTGGAAGAAAAACAATGATGAAGCTGTGTGTGAAACTTCTCACCTTGAAACCCCCCCACAACCCCCACCGTTGTATTATGGCCGGCATGCATATTTAGACCCAATTTTGTGGGTTGAAATGATTTATGGCGATCAGTCGAAAGGGCACGTTTCGCAGATGTCTGCGCGTCTTACCTTGTGGCTCAACGGGTGGCATAGCTCGCCTTCCGTGCCCCTCGGGACGCACATCCTCAGGCCCCTCAGCCACAGACTGACGGCACAGCACAGACCCAAGCCGCACTGCATGTCGCGCTCGCAAGCCTGTAGGGAGACGAGGCGTATTCACTCACAGGTCGTGCCCTCACTCCGGTGCGACTTTCGAAGCAGCGGTGCCTCCATTTCAACCTACCGCCCAACCTCGTTACGACGTACCTCGAGGAACATAGTGAATCTGTACGTTAGAACGGTACTTTGTTGTAACCCTTTCCGATAAAATGGCCGCAAACTACGATGTATAATACATTATGAACATATATGGCTGTAAATATACACGCACGTATAATACAGTGCAAACATGTCAATTAGAAACACGTGTATGTGAAGAAAAAAATGATTTTATAAGACATGAAACCAACAACTGTAGTGTTCCTACTTCTGGAGAAATCACAAAATCTTGACTTAAGACTTCTTTCTACACTCTTGCATTTCTAGTTTGTATTTAGTCCCTTGCCCCGCATTACCCCGCGCCATCTGGATTTTGGCCTGTTTTACTGCCGATTCACCCGCACGTTGATAAGGCGCTCCGAAAGGCACTTTGAATATGCCGGTATGTGTGGTTAAAAATACAATATACAGTACATTTGCTCGCAACGGCTATTTTATTATTCACGTCTGTAAACGTGAGCGGCGACGAGAGGAAAATGCCAGAGCGTCGTGACACACGACCCTCCCATGACCTCTGACGGAAGCCGCTTCGGTTGAATTGCATTTGGACTTCCACGCGCCCCCGCACATTTTGTACCGTTTCATCACTCAGATCTATTTACAAGCGGCTATCAATTCCAGCCAGGATATCGTTCCCTCCGGTGGACGTGAAGGAGGATGAGGATGCGGTCTGCGCGCTGTCATGCGGAATCACTTTTCACTTCATGAAGCGAACCACGTGACTGTGCATCTATCGCATTGGAATACAGCGCGCGAGCTGGGCTTCTATTTTGCGCTGAAGTGGATCAAATAAATTATCGTGGAGGAACATGATTTGCATGTAGATTGCGCTTCAGTAATATGGACAAATTTGTACCGACGCTACACAGGAAATGCCTTTGCCTGTCAGTGAAAATGAAACCAGGATTGCTTGTTAAGAGACAAAATGGACCAAATAATTCATGCGCCGTGGTTTGTAGTTTGTAACGCGCCGTGAAAATCACACCTTGTATTTTACGCGGCTAAAACAGTCATTTCAGTTGGAACGACTTTAAAATATCAATTATTGACATGAACAGCAATGTTAGTGAGCACAACAAAGCAAGCAAGTCGTTTGCTCCAAACCAATTTGCTGAATTGTTTTTACCCGCATTTTTAAGTTGGGCACAATACAAAGGGACCAGTAGTTCGAATACGGTACATTTTTATATATTTATTGTTAAAAGGGAGAAAGACGATTTTAACCTTCGCTGAGTTGAATTGCCTATCTTCAAATGTTATGAAAATTTGTTGCCTTGAAAGTTTGAATTCACTGAACTGTTTTTTTTTTCAACATTTGTTGCAAAAAAAAAAAAAAAAAGGAAATTAAAAGGCATACATTCGATAAAATTGCACCTTATGAAAATGATAGCAAATGTTAATGTACAGTTTGTGGATCATGATGAATTATTTGCAACACTTGCTGGTGTGTGTGTGTGCGTGTGTGTGTGCGTGTGCGTGGGTGTGTGTGTGTGTGTGTGTGTGTGTGTGTGTGTGTGTGTCCAGTAGCCACTGGGGTGGCAGCATAACGCAGACACAAAGAAGAATTTCACAACGGTTGTACTGAACCCAGTAATCTGCAGTCAGGAAGATGCATTCGCTTGAGTTTTTTATGGAAAAAGCAAAGTAGGCAACAGCAGAAACACGCGAGGCATCGCAAAACTGCAAACAGCATCTTGGGAAGAAAATGAACACCACCACAGACAAACAAAAAGTTGCAAATCATTTTTGGGCATTCAAAGTTTGTAAAAAATATGAATTTAGAAAATAATTATTCACAACAATTTTTACTGTCTGAATGATAAAATCTGCAAATAAAAATTGCTGATTAACTGAAAGGAAATCAAATAGGAATGTGTGGATCTATCTATCGATGGATGGATATAGATACACACACATATGCACAAGTGCTTGTCAAAACATTTGAATATGATGAAGTTGATTTATTTCCATAATATTATTCAAAAAGAGAAAACTTGTCTCATGCAAGCATACATTCCACACAGACCGATACAGTTCAGCGATTAATTCATTTACATTTACATGGTTATATCTGACAACTTTTTTACAATGTTCAAATTTTTTAACAAGCACCTGTATGTGTGTGTGTGTGTGTGTGTGTGTGTGTGTGTGTGTGTGTGTGTTTGTGTGTATCTATCTATCTATCTATCTATCTATCTATCTATCTATCTATCTATCTATCTATCTATATATATATTAAAAACTCACTCCTGTGATGACGGCTCCTCTGGACCAGCTGACGGATGCAAGGAGGAAGGACAGCAGCACCACTCGGAAGCTCATGATGATGACAACGGGTCCCGTGGTGAAGCTTTGCGGCAGTCACTCGGGCTCCCCTCCCGACTCGTCTCTTTATCCGCTCGGGCTCCCTCACCTCAGCTCAGCTCGGTTGACTTCCCACCCACTCTCTGTGCGAGGTCCCCCCTCGGCCGACTCATCAAATGCTCGTGAATGGCAAGAGCCGCCGTTGGACGGAGGTTCCTCCTTGGCTTTTGTTTGTTGTGTGTCTTTCTGCGACTCGGCTAATTCAAGGAAAACTGTAACAAATAGCGGAAATGGTAACATTGAACAAATTCTACACACCCCTTTGGAGATTTTTGTATCGGCTCCACAGAAATAACCGGCAGAACTCAAGTGTCTTTCTTTTCCAAATGTTTTCTTGAGGTGAAGTGAAAATGAATAACAGGGACAAAGTGGTTGCACAAGTGTGCACACCCTCTCATATCTGTGTTATGGATTTGGCTGTGTTCAGAGTGAACCAGTCCCATTCAAACACGTTGAATGGGAGTCAGCAAAAAAAAAAAAAAAAATGCCGGCATTCGAAATAACCCCAAATAAAGTTCAGCTGTTCAAGTGGGCCTGCCATACGTTTTCGCTGTATAGCATCAGCTTTAACAGTGTGTGTTACCACTGACCACTACTGTATTTCAATCTGTTAATAGTTTTCCAACCTTAATTTGATCAGACCTTAACAAAACCTTCCGGGGTTTGAGCTTTATGGCCATAATTCGAAAGATACGTTGGACGCTAACTCATGACTGCTCGTTGCCAAAAGAACACGATACCAGTGAAGCATGGTGGTGGCAGCATTACGCGTTGGGGCGGTGGGCGGGGCATTATTAGCATAGAACATTCACATTTCTGCTGCAAGACATAAAAAAAAAAAAAAAAAAAAAAAAAAGGCAGCAAAAGCCTACCAGAAAAGCGAAAGTTTATTTGGGCTGAATCTGAGTCATTTTAAATGGAGACAATTGTGCGCTGACATCCAGCTAACACGAGATTGAATGTGATTGGTTAATTCTGAACACAGCCACATCCCAGTGTGCACATTGGATTATTTTAGCCATTTATTTGAATTATATCCCGCTATTGTATTCATTTTCATTCAAACATAAAAATAAGTAGTTAAAATAAGTTCACTGTCAGTTGTCATTCGGTGTGTCGAAATATGTTCGTGAGTGGGAAAAAAAAAAGTTTTTTCACTGATATTGTTTCAATCATTGTGTTTTGGAGAGAAAATGTACTGTATATACAAATCTTTTTTTTTTTTTTTTTAATCTATAAAAGTAATAAAATGCATGAATGGCTTGAATGGCGCAGCACTTCTGAGGTGTGGCTGAGCAGAAAGTCAGTTGTCCAACTTGTCCAAATACTTTTGAGCCTGGGTTAGAAAAGGGCCGCAGAACACCCCACGATGGGTCAAATCTCCATTTTGGGATTTGACACTTTGGTCTGATTTAGCGAGGTTGGGATGTGGCCACGTGCAGCAAAACAACGCTCTGGCCCAGATGAAGCGTGTGTGTGTCAGGTTTAGATTGAGTGCGTAGGTTTCATGAGCATTATTCGAATGCGAGCCTGCCGCAGTGCCGCTGATGGATTCCTCCAATGTACCAGCCACATAATCATATCGGGTCATTTCTGCCTCGTCAGCAGCGCCGCCTCTGAGGCCCGCCTGTCTTAAGACTGACTTTCCTTCAAAATCCATCAAGCTAATGCCGTACAAATAAGACGCTCCGGGTTGATGCCCATCACATTTGTGTCATATCTTATGATCAATATCATGCCTCATGCTGATGCCTTAGAAGGGTAGCGCTCAAACTTTTTGCATCGAGTCATACCTCGCTACCCCCACAAAAAAAAAATCATAGCTCTCCGAATTTCAGGATACCAACATCAAATATGGCAAGGCAGCGGTTTTATTCCAATATCGTATATTTAATACAGCACCATTGCCGAGGGACAGGGTTTTTGACGACAAGAACGATTCGTGGTGGGGAATCCGTTTTTTCTTGTGCGGCACATGACACAACACAAATTGTGCGAGTATAAGAAGCACCGGCATTGGGAAAATTCTCACTTTGAGCTGAAGAAAAAGGTGCCGTTTTTCAGTTATTATAGTGAGGTCTTTTTGCACTTTTCTGTTCGTGCACCGGCTACATTAGCAAAAATGGGAACATGTTGTTTTGATTACATACAGGACTAAACCAATGCACAAAACTACTTGAACTGTTCCCCCCATGAGTCCTTTGACCAGCTATCTAACATATATAGTTGATAACTGTCGGGATCCTTTGTTGCTTTTTTACTCTTGTAATCAAGTACTTTACCCTTTTGCTTATGTAAAAGAGTCGCCCCGATACTCCTACTTTTTATTTAAAAATTTTACGCGGCTGTCTCTACTTCTACTTAAGAGCAAAGTGTGAGTCGTGGTTTGAGTACGTTTGCCACTTTAACATTTGGAAAAAATGTATCTGGTATGTACAATAATATACACCCCCTACTTTCAAACGCTAAATGTTACAGAACAGACAATAATTGTCATTTGTTATCGAGTCTTTACTATTTTTTCCCCTTCTTATACGGTTGTGTCTGTGGTTGAGAAACCCGTTTGCTAAATCGCATTTCTTCCTGTTTTCGGCCCTTGCGGCGACTCGTAGCGCTGAGCATGTGACAGTCAGCTGACTCGTCACCGGAAAAGCATCAAAACACCAACAAGTTGTGCCTTTTTCTTCAATATTCCTCTCAATAGATTAATTACGAATGGAGTCGACACTGGAGCAACACCTCGACGACACGTGAGACATTAATAGCCCCTGTTTAGCTTTTTATGTCTCATATTTATGCAAGCCAATGTTCCCCCCCCCCCCTTCTACCGCATTGTTCGCAGCATGAAGAATCCAGCAGTGGTCGGCGTTTTATGTACGGACGAGCAAGGACACAACCTGGCATGTAAGTCAACTTTCATGACACAAGTTAACTATTGTTAGCTAAACTCAAACATAGATTTTAGCCCTTCACAAATACAGATACGTCTATAATTTAGGCTCGGGGTTCTCGAACTCTTTATTGCCCATACAACTGAAATTCTCTCCTGCACGCAAGTAAAACACTTTTTTTATACCGACATCCTCACAGAAACACCGACACACACAATACCCAAATGCTTTTTCTTCTCTTAGTTTATTGGCACGCTCCTGCTCTTCGGTGCATATCGCTGGCTGAAAATGCAAACCGCCATGCGAGCCTTGCGTAGTTTGAAGGGGTATAACGATAACGGCGATGTCGCGATATTAATATTGCCGCGACATCGTCGTCTTCGTGTCATGATATTTAAACCACTACATTTGTGAAACGGGCCATCTTATTTTGCATTTGTGCAGTTCCAGCACCCTCTGGTGGTGAGTTTATTAGTGCAATTTTATTCGAATCGGACATGTTTCGGGCACCTCCGTTGAACACCGACGCTAATCGCCAGAGGAAGGGGAACGAAACATGTTTGAGTTCACTCCCTTGAGTTGTTGGACAATGTCCCACCAGGTGGCAACTGTGTGAAATTAGAATAGTGAAATGAAAGCGTTTGCCAATCAAATGAGGCTTCCTCTGTCCTGTTCACATTACTCGCAGGTTGATGAAGGTGATAACCCAGGTGACAAATGACGCGATGAGAGAAAAGTGGCAAGACAAAAACGTTTCGATCGTCTTTGCGACAATTACCGCTGTAGTGTGGGAGAGCATCAACAGTCCGTAGGAGCTACGAAATAATAGTTGCCCAAGTTAGCAAAAACATTGTGTAGTATATGCGAATGTTTGAGTCGTGAATGTGAGCAAAATGAAATCCGGTGGCATGTGCGAGAGCTGTCATCCTGACCGATTGTCCTCCTTCCCCCCCCCCCCCCCAACAGGCCGCGGCTCGCTGTCAGACGAGCACGGGGGCGTCGTGTCCGTTTTGGCCAAACAGGCCGCCGCCCTCACCCGAGACCCGACGGACACGCCCACCGTGTGCCTGGAGTCCGACTCCGGGTGAGCGCCGGCACCGGTTTTGTTCGTCAGTCTCAAGTGACTGAGAGGAATGATTTGAGCGTTTTCACGAACTTCACAATTGTCGAGTAAAAGGTGTACGAAAGGCAACAGGAGTTGAATTTAGTTGGTGTGGCAGCTCTATCATTTTCCATTGATGTTTGCTCTTTCCAATGGTCTTGTGTTGCCACAAGAGCAGAATTTTGGTCGGGTGTTTGTTTTATTTAATGAACATCTCTCCTGATGTTTTCTGAACGGTGACCATTTAGGGTGTGACATAAGACAGATTGCGCTGTTACCAGGATGATGGGTGGGGGGCTGGGGAAACCAAGTAAGCATTGTGCTTTCTTCCTACATGTTTTTCAGCACCATTTTGGTGAGGAGTCATGGGACTGTCACGGTTGCCGTTCACAAGATTTCCTCCTGAAAGCAACTTGAAAAGAAACTGGACAGTAAATAACTGCAATGTTTTTTTTTTTTTTTTTTTTGTTCCAAACACGTCGGTCTTTGCCCGCTCAAGTGGGCCAGTCTGTAATTGTTTTAATATGTGCTTCTTTCTGAATGAACTTGATCATGATTGATTCATTGTGTCATCTTTGGCGTTGTCATGTGACATACGGAACATGCATCTGTCTTTTTCTGTTTTGCATAATTAAAACATAATATTGCGATTAAGAAAAAAATAACAGAGATGTCATTATAAAAAAAAAATTTGTTTATTTTATATTTTTTACTCCTAGGGCCAAATACTAAAAGGTGTGTGTGTGTGTGTGTGTGTGTGTGTGTGTGTGCGTCTGCGTGTGTGTCCTGCAGCATTCAACATGAAGTATTTAGATAAATAAAAAATAGAGTGACATCTTGTATAAGTAGTTTTTTAAATAATAAAATGTAGTTACATTTAAAAAGTAACAAATGTTGATATGAAAAACTTGTGATCAAAATGTCATATCTTGTAACATTCCACCTTTGTTAAATCTTGATTATTGTTTTTAACACAAGTCGACTTCTTTCAACAACTTTTAATGCAAAGGACCGCAGGTGGCCTGTCTTCGGACTCCCCTTGTTTAGTCGATAATTAAAAGTCACGGGAAGGCCGGATTCAAACCCAGAACCTCTCCACTGTGAGGTGGACGTGCTTACGAGTCTTCCAACATTCCGCCTAATAATAGTTTGTGTCTCATGAAACTAACCAACAATAATGGGAGATTTTCCAGATATGGCCGCTGTTTGGGGACGTTGAACTCAACACCTGGCGAGCAGCAGTTAGTCAGATCGTGAAGAACTCTTCAAAAGTGAAGCTACAGGCTGTTTGTTGCCACTCCCGATTGAAGTTGACTGTCAACCCAAACCTCAAAGGCAGTTACGCGTGTATTTTAAGTTTGCTTTGCCTATGCTAATGTGGCGGGTGCCAGCTAGGCTTTGCAAATGCACATTTAGTCAAACTTGACTAACCTCCTCGGTCGGGCGGGTGGAGGACAGTCGTTTGAAATCTGTTTAGTTCGTCTTTTACAAATGGGAGAAAAGTGAAATGTGTCATTTCTGGGGTGCCCGTTGACAAGAAATAAAGAAGGCGTACACCCGTTTCCGGCCACGCCCTTTGCGTCCTCCATGTTTACATTCAGTATGTCTGGATGATACTTCAGCCAGGAGCAGCAGAAAGTAAAAAGAAAAAACCCAAAAAGTGTCCAAAACTCTTTAATTCTTTACATTCTACTTAATAAAGACGTTTTTTTTTTAATAATGAAGTATGACAAAGTGCGTTTACTTTAAAAAGTATGTTTTTTTTTTTTTAATGGTCATTTTGTTTTGAGAAGGCGGGAACCGAGAACTCAATGGCGGACGTCACGCAATAATCCTTCCGTTGGTCGCCTGCTATTCCGCCAGCGGCCTGTTGGCGGTTCTCAAGCTGTACTTTGCAGTTGTGCTCCGACGCCACACAAATTCAACGTGTATTAAACTCTAAACGCCGACGATCAACAGTGGTGTTTCTTTTTACCATATGACCGAATTGTAATCGTAAATGAGGGTTGTAAAGTTTAAATACGGCCATGAATCCTATTCGGGTGTCTTGGTGTCTCGATCACGTGACTCCCCACCCCACTCCCCCCCAACCCTGTTACCAAAGCACTCTCCGTCCATCCCTCCCTCCCTCCCCTCTCCCCCGGCCCCTCCGGTTGACTTGCGGGCTCGCGGACGTCTTGGAACAGAAGGTGAGAGGATGCAGAGGGGACGCAGCCGCCGCGTGTAGAGGCACGAGCAAGATCCCGGGCAGAAGCAGAAGCAGAGCACCCCACCCCACCCTCTCTCTCCCCCTCCGCGCTCCCTCCTCCACCTCCCCCTTTCCGGTAGTAGTGCAAAGTTATGGCCGGAGGAGAAGAAGAGCCCCCAAAGGCGCGCCTTGCAGGTTTGGGGAACCTTTCTGTCAAACTTGCTTTTTGCACGGCTATCGGTCGTTTACTTTGGCATCGCAAAAAAGAAAAAAAAAATCGAAGAAATCAATTATGGCTTAAAAAAACGTTCCCCCGCGACCCCTAAATTCCGCCCCCCTCCTTCCTCTCCACCCACATTGACTGTCCTCACAGGTGGCCTGCAGATGACGATGACACGCGCTGTTTAAGCGTCACTCTGCGTCCGCTGTGAAGGAGAAGAGGAGCGCTGCGAGAAGGGGGGCACCGCACCGACGCCACCGCCACCGCCATGCGACCCGGCTGCGCTCCGGAGATAACAACTGGCAGCTAATACACGAGGTAAGACCCCCCCCCCCCCACCAAAAACATCTAACACACACACACACACACACTCACACCGTGCGATAATAACGCGCTCCAACTCGCCAACCCTGCGATCTCTCGGCACTGCACTGCAAGTCTGCAGGAACGTGCAGCGACGGGACTCAAGAAAATGATTTCGTCACTGAAATCACTCGTATCTCAGATCAACTTTCACGATTGAAATGAATGTCAATGGAGTTTATATCATCCGAATGCGGGAAAAAAAACACCAACCTTATTTTAATTATGGTCAATTGATGTCATATTTTATTTTTTTGCCTTAAACACGCCGTAGATTAGAATGACATTTTGAAGTGTTCGACATGCAGCAGGTTAAATTTGACCTGTTGACATTTTTTTTAACATGCATTGGGTCAGTTTTTGTGCATATTTTACACGATAATAGGCCAAATTGACCGATTAATATTTTATGATGTTGAAAAGTGGGTCAGTTTGACCCATTAACATTTTTCAGTGTAACATACAGTGGGTCAAACTGACCCCTTAATATGTTTTGGAGTTAAACATGCAGCAAGTCAAATGTATTTGTTAATATATTTTTGTGTTGAGATGTTAAACTCACGAATCAACATGTTTTGGTGTGAAACATGCAGCAAGTCAAGTTGACCGGATCACATTTTGGGGGGTTTTAAACATGCATTGGGTCAAATTGACCAATTAAAGTTTTTTTTTTTTAAACATGCAGCGAGTTAAAATATTTGGGTGTTGAAGATGACGTGGATCAAAATCACCCATTCACATTTTGGGGTGTTCGAAATTCAGTGGGTCAGTTTGACCAGTGAAAAATGTCTTTTGTGTTAAATTTGCATTGGGACAAATTCACCCGTTCACATTTAATGGTGTTAAAAAAATGCAGCGGGTCAATTTGCCACGTCAACTTTTCTGTGTGTTGACCCATTGGCTCATTCACTGACAGCTGTTTGAAAAAAAACGGTGTTTCTTATATTGCCAGCAATTTTAGGGCAGTGTGACTAATTATTGGACTCACTGAATCACTGAAGCCATTTTCACTGGAGCAAAGCCGCCAATCACCGCCGTTTGACTGGATTTTGACTGATTTTGCAGATTTGTTGGTGCGATCCAAAATGAAGCAATATGCCCTGATGCAAGGGCACAGAACATGCCTCGCACCACATTCTGGTTTCACCCCGCTTGCCTTTGCGAAGGCAGCCCCGGCACCTTCTCCGCGGTGTGGCTTTTGTGGTCTGCGACAAATGTTGAAGTTTGTGCTTGTGGAGTGGTTGCACAAGCCGAAACGGAAGCTCTCTGTGGGCCACGTGAGGCACGCGATGCTCTGGCACGAGGAGCCTCTTGGTCACCGTCTTTATTCTCAACTCACCTCAACTCAACTGTATTTATAGAGCACTTTCAAACAGCCATCGCTGCATCCAAAGTTTTTTTGCTCGAAACAGTCTGGCGAAACTATCCGGGCGCGATGCGGGCCCCATGAGACACACCATGTTTGTGCACCCAGAGTCTCTTTTGATGGCCTCTTCTTCCTTTTGCGCGGACGAAGCGTCCTGCTTTCAGCAACTCCATCTCCTTTGTCATGCTTGGTGAAAGATTTTTTTTCCCCCCCCAAAAGCAATCCTCCATCGCTTTGAATTTCTCCATGCGGTTCAAGTGCACTCTCTACTAACGTCGCTGCTCCGCAACTACTTCCCTCTACTTCTCCCGCAGCGTGATCTCGGCCGACCCCTTACACCCGCTGCCGCCCGCTGGACCGATTTTAAATGATTTTGCAATGCAGACAAGACCGATCCTCAGTCAGAGGCCGCGTCAGACCCTTCTGAGTGACACATGACGCAAACAACCCCCATAAAAGATCGACTCCAGACATCACATGCCTGATCCCCGCGTGCATTTGTTTGTGCGGCCGCGCTGACAGGACTGCAGCGGCGGCGGTTGAATCAGTCAATATTGCGTCCAAGTGAATTCCCGTTTCACTTGGATGAAAAGGATAAAATGAGACACAAAGGTGCAAGCTGGACAGGTTGGATATCACAGATGCACCGCGAGTCGCAAAGGTAGATGGGGGAGGACGACACTGGTCAGTCCTCACGCTCATACAAAGGCTATTAAGGGAGAAAGTTTACCTTACGGGCCGT